CAGTTATATCAAATTTAATTGATTTTATAAGGAAAACTATATTATTTAATTAACTCCGTAAAATAATATTTAATTAATTCCCCTCGCTGTTGTCAGAGAATTATTGCACGTCGAATTATTCACCAATTAATAAGATAAAATATTAATATTTGCAAATCTGCAAAGAGAATCTTTGTTATTTGACACAAGAAATATTTCAATTCAGAAGATCTAATAATTTATAAAAATCATATTTCGTTATTAATTTTTGTTATATTATATTTGTCACATTTCGATATTTTTGTGATAATCTTTTTTTAACACGGAATGTAAAGTATTGTGATGTTGTAAAAGATTTGTAAAAATTTATCACGTTGATGTGAAAAAATATTTGTACTAAAATTGCTTTTTCAACGTTGAATTTTAAAATTCCAAACGTGACAGTTGCTCGCTATAAACTGCTTGCTATAAACGTCAGCCTATCAGAATACAGTCGCTATTGTCGTCTCTGGGGTGACGTTGAAATCTTCATTCGTGTTCTCTCCGATTCTCTTTTTCTGGAATGCTCGAATAGCCTTAACAAGATAAAACAATGGCATAATTTTAGACTTCACAAGGGAATTATATAAAATTTTCATTGTAAAATTTTCATTGTAAATTTGATTTATAAACTTGCAAAAAATACTTTGTCCCGAGCAAATGAGTTTCGTGTCATTATTGAATAATAATTAACGACTTCCCCCGTTGTAAAGAAACGCTTAAACTCCAGTAATTAATACACATCATTAATAATTTACTTAAAATCAATAAGTACGATGCTTATCATTAATAACTCACTTCGAGACTTCGAAGACTTCGAAGAATTTTTGAGTTTATGAACGTAACTATTTTGATAGAGACAGATGGTGGATAATGATTAATTATCCTTCCCCTTAGAAGGCGTATGTAGAATGTCGCGAGATATTGAAAAATTGATATTCTCTGGAGTATGATTTTTCACTTATGAAAAGGATAACGAGCAACGAGACCAAAATCACATTAAGGAGATATCTCTCGATCAGAGAAAAGGAGTCAAGGTTACATTAGATAGATCGATCCATCTCGATCAGATGAACTGTACTCGCGCCAAGTGGTCGTCCCACTATTCGATCGGACAAGAGTCTGGCGACTGTGCGCCAAGTAGATCGCGTCGTTTTCAGTCAGACACAAAGAGCTACATATATCACTCAGTAGTAATACGCGCTTTTAGTGCGACGTCTTATGGAAAGTAGAAAGGACGATCGTGCTTTCATCACGTATTCCACAATCACTAAATCAAATAAAATCCTATGATATAATAATATAATTATCAAAGAAGAATTTTCATAATTTTATCAAAGAAGAATTTTAGTCGATCGAGGGCTAAACAATTGTTTTCAAATGCAAAATAAAATTATTTGTGATGATATACAGATTTTAGTTTTATAAGATTTTTGCAAATTCAGATAATATATAAATAGAGTATTCCAAAATGGCCTGGTTCACTTTGAACTTTAACTTCTTTTACCATTTTTACCATCATAATTTCTGAGTGTCATAATTTTGCAACATCTGTACATGAACGTAATTGAAAATTAAAATTGACTCGCGAGTTAAGATCAGCATAAAATGTAGCAGCAGAAAAGTTAGTACATAGAGACTCATTGAAATTAACTTTTTGGTTTTGCTCCGTTCCATATGGTCAAAGATAAAGCGATATTGTACCGAAGGAATTGCTACATAATTCCAACTATCGTATATTTTAATTCGTGTTCTGTTTTACGACTGAAATATACATATTCTCCGTTGGATTTCGTATGCGCTCGTATATCCCGCTTTACGACTTGAAGATAAAAACGTGCGAACTTACTCTGTTTCGCAGCAGCAAATACTGACGTATTTCCGTATTTCCATTCATTAAAATTAAAAAAATTTGGACGTTAGATCCGTGTTTGCGCGTTGCTTTTATTTAGTGTTACATTTACGTTTTGCATTTAATACCATTTACTACGTTTTTAGCTGCTATGTTTAGGAAACTAATAAAGATGTAAACTAGAAGCGCATAGCTTTTCTCCGGGAGAATATCGAGAGCGATGTGCTCGTATCGTATCATCATACCAGATTCGAGATCGTGAATGAGACGATCTATATCGGGCTACCTCTTCGATATAAACCCCGCTTATCAAATAGATGCTTGGCGAGTCGAGTCATAAGACGATCGTCCCGAGTTTCCCAGCGCGTCAAAACATGACACGGGCGTCGAGCAGACGCGTAGAATATATATATCGCTTCAACTAAAGTATAGCTTCTAGTGTTCCAAAGATAAAGATAGAGATCTTATCTGCACATCTAGAGAAAAAGAGAAGAAACGATTGTAGAATATTAAAGGATTAAGAGATATTGCGCATTTTATCAAGTACACGCCTAGGATATCTTACATTCTAATTTTACTTATTTCATTAAATTAATCATTGAAGGATCTAAATATTCAGATAATTTTTATAATAATTTCTTCGATTATAGGGAAAAAGAGAAGGAATGATTGTAGAATATTAAAGGATTAAGAAATACCGTGAATTTTATCAAGTATACGCGTAGGGTGTCTTACTATTCTTATTTCGTTTGTTTTATTAAATTAATCATTGATGGATCTAAATATTCGTGATTTTTTATAATTTTATGTGAACATTATTCAGCTTATTATTGTAGTCCTCAGCACAAGTAATGTTATAAAGTCATCTTCAATATTCTATATAAATAATGAAAGCATCAGTATTCTAAGCATTTAATCTTTCTCATAATTAGAATTTCGTAACACGTAAAATGACTGCGCGTGTGACCTGACTTTTAAGATCTTCTCTTTATAAGTAAGTGAGAGAAATATCTGCTAAGAATTATAAATAATAAATTAAATAACAATAACTAGATATGGTCGAAGAAATAATTTAATATTATTTAATACTATTATTTAATACTATTATTTAATTTTATAATATTTAATAACTCAGTATGATAAACGTGATATGAAATTATTGTTATATTATTGAGATCCATTGTTATTAAAACATTTTTCATTTAAGCTTTCTACGATTCGATAATTCTACCAAGAAAAGAAATTAATAATCAGAGGGATAACAAATCAGTGCTTTAACGTAAGTTTTTATAAATCCGTTAAATTCGTTGCCCGACGTTTGCCGTAAAATCCAACATCAATAGCTTCAGTGACCTCGTATGAACCGGCGTGACCTGGAAGTACCTGGGAATATCTCTCACGGCGGAGTAGTATATGCGAATAATTAATGCTTAACGCAAGATTGATCATCCCGTCCCAGTTACTAATTCAATATCGCCAAGATCCAGCGTGGATCCCACGGATCGCGGCGTCACCGTCGTGAATCGATCGCGACCCGGAGGGGGTGTTCACCGTAAATCCGGCCGTGGAATTTGCTACTGCACAAAGGTTGCGGGAGTAACGAACCATTTCGGTTGTCCAAATGCGGAGAACGACGAGGCGGACGATGGGCTCTGGTGGCTTTGGGACCGCCGGTTCCGGCCGTGTCCTCGAGGGTGATTCTGGTGCGTTTCAGATGATTCGGTCAGCAATCGGGTGATCCTCGACGAGCGAGATGTGGCGCGCCACGAGGGTGACTGGGTCACGATACGGTGCTCCAGCGGTGATGGATGACGCGACGCGGTGACCTCGACGTGGTGGACGCGGGTAGAACGCGATGCCGACTGAATGCCCCGGTGGCGCGCGACGGCGTCCGAGGCTCAGCGGGTAGATAGGGTGGCTGCCGAGCGACTGCCACGGGGTGTGATAGAGAAACCGCGAGAGAGGGATGCTACGAGAGCCTCCGTGGTAGGGGCAAATGTGTTCGGGGAGAGAGAAAATTACTTGGCCGGGAGAAGGGAGCAGCGAAGGAGAGAAGTAGTGCAGGTTGAGGGATGATGGTGAGGAGAGGGGTAGCGAAGTGGGGAAGATGCGTGAAGGGGTGGTTAGGAGCGAGAAAGAGAAGAAACATGCGTGAGCGAGGGTGAACGCGAGCAAAGGCGGAGGACAAATGATTATTCATAACATTTGTAACAGTAAATGATTTTAAGGCCGCTATTTTTAATTATAAATTAAGAAAATACTTTAATTTTTCTTATAATGTTTATACTTTTTATTTTTTAAAAATAGAAATATGTAAAATTTTTATTTTTTGTCAAAATTTTTTCACTTACATCAAATTTCGTAATCTTTTTGACTATTGCTAAAATGTTCATAGTTTTGAAGATGAAAAATAATCACTAAACAGACGATAATTTTATATGTATATACTTTCTAATATCGACGCCTATGGAGAGCGAACAATGACCGAAGAGAGAAACAGAAAGAGATAAATGAAAAGAGAAAACGTTAATAGAAATGGATAGGAGAACACACGTAGAAAAGGGGGATGAAAAGAGATAGACAAACGGAATGCTAGCATTAGTTAGAAAGAGAATCATAGGCGAGATGCGAATATTGGCCGGAAGTAAAGGCAGGTTAGAGAGAAAGAGACGACAGCAGAATGGAAGTAACAGTGCAAACTTGTATCCGGCGGAAGCTGTGACTGTAAGCAAGATAGAACTAGAAAACGCGTGTATGAGAGACAAAGGCACGAAGGATAAAAGAAATGGAGGTCGAAAAATCGACGGAGGTATGGTTGAAACAAGGACAAAAATATTTCGATCGAGAAGGCGACAAAGATACCAACACATGGGAAGGAGCTAGAGAGAAATGAAAATATGGGCCGAGGGAAAAAGAACGTATAAGAGAAAAATGGAGAAAGGGATGAAACTAATAAAAAAAATTGAAATAAAAGAATTGTGAAAAGAACAATTGAGAAAGACGGAGTCGCAGCTAAAGTCTCACAGAAAGAGAGATACATTCAAATTCCAGAGGGAGATTACACAGGGAGATCTTGTGGTCTGAATAAGAAGGCGGATGGAGAGAAAAGAGGGGATGTAAGTATTAAAGTGGGGGAAGACGGAGGGATGAGAGAGAGAGAGAGAGAGGGGGGGGAGAGATGTAGGTAGGAAAACGAAAGAGAAGTCAGAGAAAGACAGTAAAAACTCCATATATAACGGAGGAAGAGTGAGGGGAAATACATGGCAACCCTGAACGATTCAGGTATGAACGAAACGAGAAAATTCGAGAGGGAGAAGACGAGATGAAACGGAGAATTCGAGAGAAGCGAAATGATGGACGGCAGGAAATACAAGCGGAGGATGGAATGACCAGCGCAGAGAGAAAAGATAAAAAGGATGGAAACCAAGGGGTGTAAGCAAGGGAGACAGCGCTCTATCGAGCGGGCAGTGGCAGTGAATCGTGGAGGGGTGGGTCTTGTATGTAGAGAAGTAAGGTACTCATGTTTTTGTTCCTCATGGGCATTCACACGGGATAAACGAGGGGAGTAGATCCAAGGGGGGATGCGAGTAAGTATAACCGACGCGAAAAATATCAAGGAAAGCAGAGTAATCGAGGAAAGACGTGAATGAGTATAGAAAACATTTTTAGTTTGCTGTGGCAGGATTTCCCGTCTTTAAGATTGATGAGAACAAGTTTTTCTAAGATTACTTCTTGCTATTTAGAAATATCATTGTATGTAAAAGTAATTCATGCAAATCTTAAAATAAGATTTTAAGTAATTGGTTTACTTCATTTTTTTTCACTTTGTTATGAATTAGAAATATTTAAAAACATACACACAGAAAGTTCTGAAAGGAACTCATTTTACCTTCCTATATATTATATATTATATTATATAATATATACAAGTTGCAAAATAAATACACTTTCTTGTGGATTTAATAATTACATAATAATATAATGAATTTTATATTATTATATTACTATTAAGTCTATCAAATAATGAAGTATATGTTTAACATGAATAATAACCATAAGTGTAGTAAATATCTGATAATAAAAATGTATATTTGTGACTTTTTTATATGATTGGTTTATGTTGGATCCTACAGATTTTTACTAGAGTATAATATTTTTGCTGGAATGGATAGTTACATGCTGTTTTGTTATCTCATGTCGGGGATTGTAAAACAGAATCTATCTAGCATAAATCCTGTTCCAATTCCATTCTGTTCGTATCACGGCGAGGTTCCATTTGTTGGTGCTTTTTATTATGCGCAGAGGGATACAAAACGGCTTGTAAAACTCGCGATTTGATTTCTAGATTTATGATACAACTACACGGCGGATTAAGATCAATGGTAATGGTTATACAATGGGAAAAATCCCATTAGATTCATTAAAAGTGTTTGTGATATTAGTACATATAAGAATTTATTTATTCTTTATTCTTCTAGCTGCATCATAATTTGTATGTACGTATTATTTCGAATAATGCATTACTTGCATCAGAAATATTTAATAAACATGAATGTTTGTAAAATGATATTTTATTACTTATTCACTACCGTGGAATCATTTAGATATAGAATATATAAAATATTTGTGATTTATTATATTTCACGAGATATTTTTCAAATGATTAAAAAACAACATTATCGCTGATATCTCTCTTTCTGACATGCAATTCACAATTAACATTTCTTTCGTATATTTTGTTTTTATATTGTTGTATCAATAAAATTATTATTATTAATAAATTTTTAGTCTACAGTTTAGTTTATAATATATTATAAATTTTTAGTTTATTATTTAAATTCACGTAATGTTCTTTTTCAGGAGCTTTGGAAATGCGATTCCAATTTTATTAAGTCATGCTAGAACATCCTATGTTTTAGAAGTGGAATTTCTTATTTATATCATGCAATTACTTGCGTAATGTACGCTGCGTATAATATATGATTTTCTTCAGCCCAAAGAGATCTTTTGATACTTCGAACTGTTAGATTGCTTGGCGCAGATGAAATTACATTAACATCAAGGCGAAACTTATAATGTTCAGCTTCGCTTGTTTCCGGAGAATGGAGACTGTTAAGAAAACCGATATCGAT